CAAATTTAGAAACAGAAAAAGAATGATACTAAGTCTGCATGCCTGTTGTGAACCTAATGGACCTAAAGGCCTCGGTCCTTCCTCAATATCATCCCAGAAGCTTTGATCTTCTGAAAGCTATATAATAACAGTTTCTGTAAGTCGCATCAATAGTAATGTGGCAAATCTTTCCCTTCCTACAAACATATCTGCTGCAGGCTAGTCATCCTGTTTAGTTTTGCAAAAAGTTCCTGCATCATGACAAGATTTGATGAATAGGCAATGAGTGAGCAAAGCAAGAGACTCTAAGCATCCATGTCTTAATAATTAACTCATAGCTTTGTTTTCCAAGAGAACCAGATAAAATGATACTAAAATATATTTTAAAAAAGGAAAAGAATGATAAAATTACCTGAAATATTGGAGATGGAAACCATTCCACCTCATCTGCCGAACCATCCATATTAATGTACATTTCAGCAGTAAGATGGCTATCGCCTTCTTCTGTGAAAATGAGATTTAGGGCATGCTGTTGACAAAATGTATTCTTTAGTCTCTCAACCGAACTCAGAAGGCGCCTCTTCCATTCCCGTTGCTCAGGATGACAGTTTTGCCTATCTGAAGTTCTTCTACGGTGGTCTTCCTTGTAGCTAGCCTGACTTGGGGACAGTTTCATGGCTGCACGTGGAAGAAGTTCACCTGCCAACAATGATGCATTTGCTAACAATGCAATTTGTTGGGCCTCAGTCTCAGCCATTCGCACAATTTTATTTCCAGTACCCCTAAAGTCTGTTTCTTCATCAATTGAAACAGGTAATCCTTTTATGAGCATGTTCACATATGAGTCAAACACCTGAAACAAACCTTCCAATGTTTGCCCTCCCAACTGCATGCTTAATAGTGGTCCGACGTCCTCAAAGAAGTCCTATAAGAGCAAGTGGAATATACATCGAATGAGTGGAAGTATATGATACCATTACATCAGAAAAATGAACCAAGAGAGATGCAGGATCTTCAGTACCAACAACTAGGTCACATATTAATGGTTCATAAGAGAACTCAGTCATGCATCCACAAAGAATCTAACAAATAAAAACATAAAACTATGGCCAAAATGAATTAATTGACCAAAATCGTGATTATTAAAGAAATATCATATCAAAGAAAATGCAGTTAAACAAAGTTATTTCAGCGATTCAACTTACTGAGGTTGAGAATACTTGATTAGCATTTAGTAACTAAAATAAAATACAGGTAAGCAGTTGCTAAGTAAAAGAACAACTTTTAAGAAAATTTGCTGTACCCATCCATGATTAATCTACACTGCATAAATGAATAACAAGACGAGAACTTAAAAACTTCTTTTAAAAAAATCACAAACAGATGAGTCAGATATGCATGTGCAAGTGTGTGTGTATAAACCTGCACGACAAGGACAAGATATTCAAAATAAATGAAATGACGAGCAAAAAGATGTCTTTACTCTTTAGTATCTGGAGTACCAAAAGTTAACAACACTTAATCACCTTTCAATCCGATTTTAGTTGAAATAGGAACACGGTGCTTCTGGTCTTGGTGAACGTGTATTTCTGCTTGCCGTTTCGTTGATTTGGTAAAACGTTAATCAATTAACTTGTTGGTTTCTTATGTAACTTGTTGAAATAGCGTACCATCTAACATGTTTTGTATTTTGATTCTTTGGTTGATTGATTTAATATACTAAAAGATTAATATAATTACAATGGTTAAACGTATTGAAGAAAAACTAGTATGTTCGAAATGATCGTTACACCCTTAAAATTCATAATAATTATTCAATTTTACTAAATAATAACGTTTTTTTTTTCAAAATAATAAAAAAATCATGATGACTTCAATTCATTTGACAATGAATTGTAAAATATTAATTCACATGTGATTTAGTTTTTACTTAAATTGATTGTATACAAAATAAACATATTTAACATCTATTCTATTTAAATATTTAACTTTGCTTTTTTTTCTTTTGCTTGTGTGGATATTTTTTTGAATAGAAGCCGCTAGTATTATTAAAAAATTGAAAGTATTCAAAATCACAATAAGGGTTTACACCTATCATCGTAAACTAACCACCGAACAACAAATAGATATTAATCTATTGAAAGACCACCGAGAACTGTAAATCAGAGTCGAGCGTCGTGAGAAAATATCCCCGAACTTAAAATAGCTTGTCCAAAATCAATCCGATGGTCCATAGTAGAGAAGATTAACAAGATTACAAATAAGAGTATTTTAATCAATCATGATATCTTCAAATGCAATCATGAGAACATATAAAATAAAAAGAATGGTCAAACGACCAAGAAAAAAGACAAAAAAAATATCACAAAGGCAAAATCACTCTTATTACAAAAATAAAGAAAAAAAAATAGGCGGTCGATAACAAGCATCAAAACTAGTGTTATCACTAGCTAAACATAGTTAAGGAAGAAAAAAAAAAGGAGAGAACGACTAAGATAAAATACATCTGTGTTTGTATTTACTTCCTTTCTATTGTGTGATTGCTATACAAAAATGGATTATATTGTTCATATTTTTTGGACATTTTCTTCGCAATTCTTTTGTTTTTTTAAATTGAAATTAATTGAATGAAATTAATTTATCTAAAATTTTAAATCTAATAAATTATATGATAATATTAAATTTAATTAGTGATATGAAACAATGAATTAAATCAACACCAATGTAACATAATTTTTTTTAACAATCACTACCTTGAAGGAGGGAAATGAGAATCATTTTTTCTCTAACACGTATTGTATTTGAACTTATAATTTAGGGGGGCAAAGATGTCAACTGATATATTTTTTAACCACTTGTTTTAAAGATTATTAATATAAATATGACATAATTGAATTTATTAGCACAAATGAGGTGACTAATTTTATACAACTTATAGAATTTATGATTGAAACTGATTTTTTCATAACCATCTGTGCAATATTGATTTTTAAATTAGTAAATAATATAAATAAAATGTTAAAGAAAGATTATTGGAGGATGTGTAAACATTATTAATGGATAAGGAAAATTTTAATTAGATACTATATTGTAATATTAAAAAATTAAGTTTTAAATTATCAACATGGATTGATTCAAGTGGTAAACAACTTGATATTGTTTAAGCAATCTCTCGAGTTCAAATTCTTGTGTATGCAGAAAATTCATGTTGAGAAACTCATCCACCAAAATCAAGTGTGCGACGTAGGTCGTTTTAGATTAATCAAGACAAAACCTTGAAACCGAGAGTCAACAAAAAAAAATAAGTCTTAAATTAGGATCTCAAGAAAGTTTCGTAGAAACTTTATTTATTTTTTGAAAATAATTTAAAAAAAGTTTTGATTTATTAAATATGTCTTAAGTCTATATCCTTTTTGCATATTTGAATTTTGTCCTCTAGCGTATATTTTTAACATTTTGGTTCTATTTTTAGATTTAAAAAGTAAAACCTAATTTTTCATCATTTGATTTTTTTAAATTTATTGGTGTAATATTATAAAATAATATTATACTCAACATAGATTTAAAAGTAAAATTTTGGCTTGATACCAAAATAAGTGTCCAAACTATACATCTTTTCCTAAATAGGTGCCTAAACTATTTTTTGACTTATCCCAGTGCCTAACGTTACAAATATTACCCATTTAGGTGTCCGGACTGTAAACGGTGTTAGTTCCTCAGTCAAGTGACACATGTCACACCCTGGTAATTTTAACAATTTTATTTAAAATTTTAAAAATAAAAGTATATATGTATATAAAGAAAACTCAAATTTTGAACTAAACCTAAAACTTTGAAAACATTCATTTCAACCCCTAAACCCACGTTGACTATCACCTTTTTTCATCGACGAAGCTCCACTAGACCTCCCCTCCCCTGGTGACCAAACCCCCCATGAAATTATGACCGATTGACGACGAATCAATGTTTTATACCTCGCGAATCCTATGATGAAAATTGAGATCCCACATGATTTCAATGGCCAATCGACGAAAACTACAACGACGTATGAGTAGGATGATGGTAGGGACTATGTCGGTGGCGTTGGTCGTGACCAGAAAGGACGCCGACGATGGATTAAGGTTAGGAGTTAGGATTTTAAGGTTATTTTATAATATAAGAAAAGTTAGTTTTTTTTGGGTAAATATCATAATAGTTTTATTATTTTTTAAAAAAAATAAATTTCAAAATACTAAATTGTGACATGTGTCACTTTACGGGCGTAAATTAATGTCGTTTAGGGCCCGAACATCTAAATGGATAATATTTGTAACGTTAGACACATGGATGAGTCAAAAAATAGTTTAGGCACCTATTTGGTAAAAGTGGTATAATTTAGGCATTTATTTTGGTATTAAGCCTAAAATTTTAATGAGATTAACAATTCTAAATAGTTTTGATTTCAAAAAATATAGAAACGTGGAGCATTTGTGTTTTACAGGTAAATTACGCGTTTAATACATAAACTATTAATTTTGGCTCATTTTAGTACTTCAACTTTTAATTTTTTTCAAAATCATACCTAAAGTTTAGTTTTTGTTTCATTTTAGTACTTTTGTTCAAAATTTAACGTTAAATTTTGAAAAAAAAATGAGAGTTTAGGTACTAAAATTGACCAAAATTGATAGTTTAGGTACTAAATGTGTTAAGTTTTTAACATTGGGATACTATAATAAAACAAAAACTAAATATTAGATATGATTATGAAAATTTAAAAGTTTAGATACTAAAATAGATCAAAACTGATAGTTTAGATACTAAACTCATAGTTTACCTTTTTCTTTTTCTTTTTCTTTTTTTGCAAATTGGCAAATAGTTTTGATTTGTTACTTTCACTCACAGTCGTAGTGGAAATATCATAAAGTCCGCCAATCAGTTTTCATGAAATAAGTGATCCAAATTTATCTCTCAACAATCTAACCGTCTTTGACATTTATCCGTTTACTATTCTATCCTTAATTGGGGAAAAAGAAAACAAGAAAGGTTATGCCGAAGTTGTAGTACTCTGCTGCTGCGGAATCTGCGATTAGCTAAGCGTTATTTGTATTTTGTTATTACCGATTAACGAAATCGTCCGCATTTTCTGCAAATTACTATACTAATAACAATATCAATAGACAGAGCCACATTCTTTGTCTCTGCTGTCTGTTCGATTTGCCAGTATTTGGTTCTCTTCTTCTTCTTCCACTAGTTTGAAAGTTAAAATAACTTATGGAGATTACCCTGTGATTCTGCGGCCTCTGGATTTTGGAGATTCGAGGTCTCTCGCCTCCTTTTAAAGCGATTGTGCCGTTGCTTTTGTGTGTGTTAGCCATCTCCCTTGCGACAGTTCTTCTCTCTGTTTTTTTCACTGCTGAATTGGGATATCCATCATCGACAATATGAGCAGCTTTTCTTCTGGCGATGCTCGTCCCGACCTCCAAGACTTGGAGGCCGGCCCTTCTAAGGACAATGATGACCTTAACACTAACCTTGATCCTGATGTTGACTCCTCCGACCCCTTCGACATTGATCACACCAAGAATGTTCCTCCCCAGGCCCTCAAGCGCTGGAGGGTAATCCCTTTACCTTCTTTTCTTCTTCTTCTTCTTCTTACGTCCCTATCTCTTTGCTCCTCTTATTGTAATTGGAAATAGACGTGACTTATATAGGGATTTAGTGGTAATTAAATGAATTTCCATTTCATTTGTATGTGTGGGCTATATTTCTTTTTCTCTTGTTATTCACCACAATGGATGAGGGGGGCTTTGTAGTGATGGAGAATTTTTAGTGTAAGCTTGGGATGAGCACATTGCATATTTCTATCCCCTAAAGCTTGTACAGGTTAACTTCAAAATATAGAATGCATTAGGTGTGGCATTCATGTTTTAAATTTATATGAGGAGCCGGACCTGGAATAAACTGAATCATGGGCGAAACATCTGTTGTCTTCTTGTTCTCATGTTTCATTCTTGAATCACTCAGTGTACTGAGCAGGCAGTTTGCAATGAAGGACTCTTTATGGTCAATCTGAAAAGTGGTTGCTTTACAATTAAGGCTTAACTCTTAAAATATCTGAATAATTGCAATCTTATTTAGTCAAAGAAAGCATGATTCTCTGCTAAAAAGTTAAACATCCTGCAAATCATTGCAGCAAGCTGTATGTAATCAAATTTACATCATCTGATAGCAAGCATACAACTGACTACTAGAGAAAAAAAATAATTAAATTTTCTGCTAACTCCATATTTGGTATAGAAGCTTATTAGTAGGTTTATTTTCTCAAATTTCCAGGCAGTTAAGCTTGAGGTTGACAACCTATTCTAAGCATGCCACATTAAACCATTAAGAGATCGAGGAGTGTTATGGATTGCCTTTGTAGGCAATATTATTATTGCCACCAATTTTTTGGTTATCACTAAGAAATCAGTTTATTAGTATTTTAAATCATGAGAAGTCATACCTTGGTGTGAGACTTGCTTTTAATTACTTCGGTAAGTGTTTTATTTGACCTAATATGTAACCTCTATTTAAGAGGTAAATTTGGAAGAAATAAAGTGAAGTCAGAATTTATCAAATTTTAACAATATAATAACCAAATAGTTGGAATGCTCTCTAATAGTTTCGTATCCTAGAGCAATTTTTACTTGTGCCCTTCTTGTTAACCCTTTGTATGTGGGTAGAATGTTCCCTGACTTGTGATAGACTATCATTCTTAGTACTTCCCTAGTGATTGGAAAAAGAAACATATACAGCGTATGAAAGAGATGGTGTTTAAGCTGATCTTATCTTTATTTGACTTGTGGCAACTACAACTAATTCCCCCAATCCTTTCCCTTACTTGCCTTATGTGATAATCACGATCCTTTGCTTAACGAATAAAGAGGTGATTAAGGGATTTGATATTCATCAAATCCTATCACAAACTAAGGTATTAATTTGCTTGAGAATTGTGTTTTGCATATTATCAGTGATGTAAATTGACCCTATGCCATGAAGTAATGGTAAAATTTTTAGCATCACAATGATAATAAATGGCACTCTCTATTCCAATGAATTAGGACCTGGGAAGTACAAAATGAAATCTCCAAGTTGTAATTGTTGTGTTGTCCCTTTTGAATGGCACTTCGATTATTGTACATCATCTTAAGAACTTCTTAGATGGACCATATGGACATTTTTACTAATTTCTAAGTTCATGCCTTTATGAACAAGTGTTACTAATTTCGTATAATAATTATTATTATTTGCACTTTGCCACATTGAATTCATGGTTTCTCTTTTTGGCATGCACCAATAGTCAATTATTTTTATTATTATTATTATTTACTAGCATAGGTTGATGATTGGGGCACCCTTATTTTTCTTGGAGATTTACTATTTTTTATTCCCTATACAGCAAGCAGCACTTGTGCTAAATGCTTCTCGCCGATTTCGGTATACTCTGGACTTGAGAAAGCAAGAGGAAAAAGACCAAAGAAAGAGAATGATCAGAGCTCATGCACAAGTCATAAGAGTAATGCTGAATATTTTAATTGAAATTTCACTTAGATATTTTTATCCCAGTAAAATCATACTGATGTCTTGATGTTGCTGCAGGCAGCATTGCTTTTCAAATTGGCTGGGGAAAAGCAAATCGGTATGCTTTTTACAATAATATTTTGCTCCAGTATTTCTCGTTATTCTATATTTGAGAATTTTCTTTGTCCAAGTTTCCAATCCAATTTCCAATTTTGGCAAATAGTGGAAGTATACTGTTCGGGACAGAAGAATCCTTCATAAGAAATCATTGCACAATGTGTTAGAATCCAATTATGACTTAACTCAATGCGTACTATTTGAATAATGTACAACCGAGTTTAGCTTGAGCTGATGGGGATGATGAATGTGTTGAGCCATGTTCAAGTCTTTTTCTCTTTTCCTGAGTTGCTTGCAAGCCTAATTAAACTTTTGATTTTCATATTTTTAACATAGTATACATATATGCACAAAGCACAAATACTCCACTTCTTATTTTTGAAACCTAAGTTATCTCTCCATTTATAAGTTTAGTACTATTATATTTTTTACATTTCAAGTTCCTTTTCATGATTTTTTAAAAATTAGGATCCTTGGAACAGTTAATTTATGAGAAGCATTTTTTAGAGGGTTCTTTGGTAAAGAGAGAGGAAGCTCTGCAAACAAGTGAAATGCAATGTGCCAGGATATGGAAAAGAGGAAGATGAGAGTAGACCTTAAAGTATTGAGCTTAGTGATCGGTGGTGGTTAGTTAGGTGAAGAAAGTGGAGAGTGGCAGGGCTGAGTAGGGTGGCGGAAAAGGTTGAGAGAAATAAGTTTGTTACATCATACTTAGCATGAATGTGCTAATGTAGCTTTTGATTCAGTTTCTCTCTTGGGACTTAAAAGTCAAAATCAATCTTGTTTTTTCCCAAGATGATCTTATTAAATTGTTTTATTGTTATTTTATTTGTTTTTAAGGAGAATTTTAATTCCGAGATACTTTGTTTGTTTTACTCATAGTTTTTTTATCTTCATGTTATCCTGTTTCTGCTATTTCAGTGTCAGGTACACCAATTGCACCACCAGATTCTGTCGGTGATTATAAAATTGGACTAGAACAACTTGCTTCAATGACCCGGGATCATAAGTTATCTTCTCTTGAGCAATATGGTGGGGTAAGTTACCTGTTAATATAGTTATATCATTTTACTTGGTGTTTCTTTCATGGTTGATTGGTGTTATTCTTGGTGGATTCCTTCATCAGGTTACGGGGTTGTCTGGTATGTTGAGAACAAATTTAGAGACAGGAATAAAGGGGGATGATATTGATTTGTCAAACCGGAAGAACGCATTTGGATCAAACACATATCCACGGAAAAAGGGGCGTAGTTTCTGGGTATGTTATTTTCTTCTTAGTCCTTATTCTTGTTTTCATTGTTACCTTCATGGTTAAAATTTATTGCTTACTGATACTGTGATACCTATGCTGCTTCGCAGAGGTTCCTTTGGGAGGCATGGCAAGATTTAACCCTTATCATATTGATTGTAGCTGCATCTGTGTCATTGGTGTTGGGAATAAAGACAGAGGTCTGATTTTTCTTTGTACTATTGTATTTAATCTTTGTATATTGGATAGTGGTTTCCTTGCTAGGTTGTTAACACTCCCTTATTCTTATGGGATTGAAAGTTTTAACTATGTTTTTCGGAATGACTTGGCTTTTTGTTATATGCTATGATATTTTCTAATAGCAAAGAAGTTAATGTAAAGGCAGTAGAAGTGCTAAATATCTTTCTGGTATGAGTGATCAGGTGAAGCAGAAGTTTGTAATTTTAATTTTGTCACATCTAGGTCTACTTTGTATGATGTGAATGAGTTGCTGGTTCTGAATTTTCATAATTTTCAATTATATTTCATAGGATTTGAAGCGTTATTATATTTTTCTAAGCATGTGTTGATTCTATGGTTTTTAAAAATTACTCTGGCATGTGGATATCCCTCCATGTTCTTAAAGTTTGTTAGGTCTTAGTTCACAGGCTCCAAACTGAAGAAATATATTTTAATTCTGTTCCACTCAAATGAATTATCATATATGATATGTACTTTTCTTTCTTAAAATTTATTATTTTGTTTAATTTTCCTCCCCTGCTTATTACATTTCGTTATTTGTCTTCGTCTACCTTGCATTTTTTTGTTTGTCTCCTTTTTCAGATCTTGTTTTGTTGCCCTTCGTGGCACCTATCCCCCTTTCTCCCTTGTTTATTTATTTGTTTTAATTGACATTCTTTCTAGGGTTTGGAAGAAGGATGGTACGACGGGGGTAGCATTTTTTTAGCTGTTTTTCTTGTTATAGTTGTTACAGGTATGAAATTTGATCATTTTTCAAAATAGGATGCAAGTAATATCTCAGTCCACTGTTCCACTGCAGCTTCTTGTAATAAAAGTTTTCCAAGTTATGTAATGTTGGTGCTTTTAAAACCAAGGCAATTGTTTTTACTGCAGGATGATTCCTTTCTAATCTTGTTTGTCTTTTATTTATTTACTAGCTACTAGTGATTATCGTCAGTCTCTTCAGTTTCAAAATCTAAATGAGGAAAAGAGAAATATCCAATTAGAGGTATGTTCTAGTGGTATGATGACATCCATTTCAATTGTTACCCTCAATTTGATTATTATTAACTTTTGTTTTTTGAATATCCATTTAGGTCATGAGAGGTGGTAGAACTGTGAAGATTTCGATATATGATGTTGTTGTTGGCGATGTTGTGCCTTTGAAAATAGGTGACCAGGTGGGTCATTCAGTTTTTTCTTCAGGCTGTTGATATTGATGTGTACTTGCACTAAATAATAGTTGGATGCTTTGGTTAGGTCCCGGCTGATGGAGTCTTAATTTCTGGCCATTCTCTAGCAGTTGATGAGTCTAGCATGACTGGCGAAAGCAAGATTGTAAGTTGTTTATTTTTGTAATACATGCATCTACTGCTTAGGTTTCATTGTATTTACACATAAGTTTTCTTGTAGGTTCACAAGGATAAAAAAGAACCATTTTTGATGTCTGGCTGCAAAGTAGCAGATGGTGTTGGTACCATGCTGGTAGGTTATATCTTGTCTTTTTTTCCCCTAGGTGCACTTTGTCTCTTGTTATTTATCTTGATGTTCACTGGTTACTTACTGGTTCTGCATTATGATGTTTTCTATGTGCACTGAACTTTTTGCTCTTTCTTTATATGGATGTTGTGAAGAAACTTTAGGAGTGGGTATCCTCTTTTGTTTTGGCATTGCCCCTATACATTTCTAATTGTTGCTTGTTCCCTCTATTATATAGTGATGAGTTTTGTTTAGGCTGGTTTCTGATTTGTGATAATGGTTATTTTATCTTTCAACTCAAATTATCTTATATGTTTCAGTTCATTATCTGATATGATCCTTGTATTGCGAACTAATTTTGATTGTATTTGCATGTATCAATACACATTTTTTGTGGATTAAATTTTTTTGTTGATTTGCCAACAAAATGTACAAGGTTTATGGTATGAAGTGCAGAATGCTCTTCTTTTCCTTTGGTCAGGAATAGAAAATTTTCTTTAATATCTGATTTGGTATTCTTGACATATGGCACTTGATAGTCTGTGTCTTTATCCCTTTAGTAGGGAGTTTGTCTTGCAATGACATAGACTCTAATGTAGATTCCATTTAAAAGTCGACTGTCTTAAATCATTTGTAGGTGACTGGTGTTGGAATCAATACTGAGTGGGGATTGTTAATGGCAAGTATCTCAGAGGATACTGGTGAAGAGACCCCCTTGCAGGTTTCACCTTAATGTGCCTTAACAGTATCTCTTTCCAGTTATTAAGATGTAGCTTAAGCATATTATTCATTTCACACTGTAGGTACGCCTGAATGGAGTTGCTACTTTTATAGGCATCGTTGGGCTTTCTGTAGCTGTTGCTGTGCTTCTTGTTCTTTTGATCAGGTATGAAGGAATCTATAAATTTATACTTTCATGCTAGATGAATTGTCTTTGATCAAATGCTTACTATTTGATCGGTTTTATAGATATTTCACTGGACATACAACAGATCCAGATGGAACTACACAATTCGTCAAAGGGCGCACTAAATTTGATGAGGCATTTAATGACGTTGTTATAATTTTTACAATTGCAGTAAGTACACCGTATTGAATAGAACACGTTTATACTATTACATGCTGGAAAGTAACCTAATCGTGACACCAATTTGGTGAAATTATCCAAAAAGAACAAAGTAACAGTAAATAGAAAACTACAGATATAAATGTTATTTTACCTTCCTAAAAAATGAGGATTTGATTTTGACTCTTATTTTTATTTTTGGTTTTGTTTTTAAAATCTCACATTTCCGCATTCAACCATAAAAATACTCCTTTCTTAATTGAGGAATTCTTTTTTCCTTTCACCTATTTTTCCTACATGCCAAAATCTTGGAAGGGTGTTAATTTGTATAGTTGGAATAATACCCGGAAATATGCAATAATAAACAAATGAAGACATTTAAATCTAATAAATTGACAACTGTTCTTCTATATATGCTAATTTTCCATTATGTTTTTCCTCTTTCCTTTGTCTTCCTTTTTCTAGGACCAGGTCTAGTGGTTGATGCATTCTTTTGGTGCTGTAGCTGGTCAGATCCGGCCCTAAACATGCCTTACCGGTGCATAACAGGGCACAACCAAGCATGTTTAACACTTGCATCATTGTGGTGCTGCAAGGGCCGGATTTGACAGTTGGCTGCTAGATCTGGCCTCATGGTATTATGCCTTTGTGGTGTTGCTATTGAGATGTACTGGTGTGAGGCCTTTAGGTGTTGCCAGAGCTAGTAATATATGTTGCCTTTTCTTCTTGATATGCAATTGCCGGCTGCCACAGCTGCATAACCATTTTTGGTGAATTATGTGTTTTTTTTTATATTCTCTGGTCACCGGCGGTGTTTGGATTATTACCACCTGCTATAGTGTTTCTATTCATAACAGGCCAGGAATAGCTAATGCAGTTTGGGACTGGGGAATAGGATTCCAATTATGACCATAATAGACCTGGTGACTAGAATAAGAGTTGCTATAAAGTGAAGAGAAAATAGGAATGAATGTTCCATCTGAAATAGCACTGGAATGGTCCCAATCCCTAAAAACTCACCCAAGAAAACCCAAAACTCACTTGAAAATAACTGTGAAAGATCTGAACTAAAATCTAAGCTTGGAAAAACCAAAACTTGAAATGATTTTATCATGTTGAACGCATATTCCAATTGAAGTCTAGATGCATGCTGAAATGATTACTTGTAATTAATCTAAAACTAACCTGAGTAGACCATATTTGATCTCTGCCTAAACTGCAAAGAATTAGAACATAAAATTACCCAAACCTGAAATAACTCATATCCTAAAATGATCTGAATGTAAAATACCAATCCTGCTCAACCAGCTTATTTTTCACCTCTTGTTATTCCCATTGAACAAAGATGATGTTTATACTTTTATCCTTATTTAAGAGCAAGTCAAAGATTTCCTAACTATGCGGTTGGTCAGGTTACAATTGTTGTTGTTGCTGTGCCTGAAGGGCTTCCTTTGGCTGTTACATTGACGTAAGTTCAAGTCACAGCTTTTCCCCCTACTACTCTGACACAATTATGTTCCTTCTGTTGAGTGTACTTTCTTATACATTTCCTTCTCATCGTTTCATGGTTTTGTTCTATATTTGAACTTTTACAGTTTGGCTTACTCAATGCGAAAGATGATGGCAGATAAAGCTTTGGCAAGCTCATAATTCTACTTTCTAAATGTTTCGCTTCCATGGTTGATTCTGTATCAAAGTTGTTTGGTTTTAGTTTTTTTTTATCTAACAGGCATAGATATACAGGTGCGTCGGCTTTCAGCATGTGAAACTATGGGCTCCGCAACAACAATTTGCAGTGATAAGACTGGAACATTGACTTTGAATGAGGTTAGTTCATATTAAAGAAGATGGATGGTTTTAACTTTGATTACATTTCGTTTCTTTTAAGACCAAATGACCGGGTAGCTTTATGCTGAAAGCTATTCTCATACGAGTAGAAGCCAATCTTCTGTAATTTATTTTCCTTTATTTGGAAGATTTTCCTTTTATTTTCACTACCAATTCTTACTTAAATCCCATCATAGCTCTAAACTTTACTGGATTGCATCCCATGCTAACTAATATAATTTCGCTTCAATGAACACAGGCACTGTGCGTGAAACATTTCTATAATAGTGATCATATAAATATACAAGTAAATATACACTTGATTGCAGTATACCTTTGTTAAACTTATTTTGTATTGATCTTGGCTACACCATTGACAAATTCTTCTTGTCATGCCTTTTCTTAATGCTGTATTTCCATACCTAAGTTTTGACTCAATTGGATTGCTCTTATTCGGTCAAAAGTAAAAACAGCTTGGTTTTTTGAAAGAAGAACAACTTTTTGAATCTGTAAAACAGTTTCTATTTTCTAATTCAGTTGTTTGAAAGCTTTTAGATTAGATATCTTTCTGACTAACTCGTATAACAGATGACGGTTGTTGAAGCTGTAGCTGGGAAAAAGAAGGTAAATCCACCTGCTGATTCTTCCCAGTTGCCTGTATCAGTTGTATCTCTGTTGAGCGAAGGAGTTGCACAGAATAGCACTGGGAACATATTTGTGCCTAAGGTAAGATCAACTCCATTATTAGTTCATCTAATTCCTTATGTTAAGGTCAAAAGATAAATATTTATTCATGCATAAAAAATATGTGCTTTTTCAATGAGTTCTAACTGTTTAAGTGCTAGTTGGAATCATTTTTCTTCCTAATACATTATATACTTTCCTAATGGAAATATGCTTTGTTCTGTTTTGTTTTTTTCCTGTACTCTCCAGTCTCTAAGTGATTAGATTTTGGTTTAGCTCAGTTCACGTTTCTTAAGTACTCGATTTCCCACTGCTTTTGTAACTTATTGATTCTGCAGATTACCTTTGTTATTATTACTCTTAACTCGGAACATCTCAATGAATTGCATTTATCTTTCCAGGATGGTGGTAAGATTGAGATTTCTGGATCTCCCACAGAAAAGGCTATACTTTCTTGGGCAGTAAAGGTAACTCCCTAACTTGTTTCAATCATCGACGTTAGATGTTCTTTTGTTTGTAATGCAATAATCATTGAAAATTGTGTTGCAGCTAGGAATGAAATTCGATACTGTCAGATCAGAATCCAAAATCCTTCATGTTTTTCCTTTCAACTCAGTGAAAAAGCGAGGAGGTGTTGCATTACAACAGGTAATGGTTTCTGTCTGGTTTCTTGATGCTTTTTGACTTTGTTTGTTTATACTTAATAAAAAGGGTTACAATGCAATTATCAAAAGTAAGAAAACCGATTACATTTTATGTATATTTGATACAATTGTGCACAATTATTATGCTGACATTTGATGTATATTTGAGCACTTTGAAAGAAGCATCTTGGTTATTCCCCAATTATGTATTTTTTTCCCTAGGAATATGATATTGGTCAAACTTTTAGCCAACAGATTTCTTAAACTTCAATTTCTATAAGCAGATTTTCATGCCTGCATGCCAATTTTGGGTTTCAAACATATCATAAATAATTTTGGCCTATTTTAACTTTTGTTCTTATGGTGGTGAATTCTGATTGGCAATTGAAATTGATGATCTAAAACTTTCATCAAATGGTGCAGAGAGAGATTTTAATATCATTTTATATTTCATTAGATGCTGGTGAATTTGAATACTGATGGTAGTTAATGTTGTCTTCTATATGAATTCATATCACTATTAACTGCACTGTATCAACAGTTATCGTATCTTGTGAAGTGATAACATTTTTATTCCAATTTATAGTTGACACTATTAGTGTGTCTGGAATTAAGGAAATGAATGTTATCTGTGTAGAAACTGTAGAAAACCAGGTATGTTTCACAGTATTTTCATATCAAAATATTTAAAAAGTACAGCCTTTTTATAGGTTAGATCCTAGAGCTTTACTCCTATTAAGCTGCATAACAAACTGTACAAATTTAAATTTCAAATTAAAGATAATATTTAACCCTAATAAACTAGAAGCTATCTACAGATAACAAACTAAATCTGCCCAGACATACCTACAACTCACACTCCCCCTCAAACTGGTGAATATACATTGTATAATCCCATCTTATAAGTACAGTCATCAAAATTTGCCCTTGGCAGTGCCTTAGTAAGCACATCTGCTAATTGTTCATTTTTGGAAACATAGGACAAATCAGCCACTCCACCATTGACCTTCTCTGAAATGAAATGATATCAATCTCCACGTGTTTAGTCCGATCATGATGAACTGGATTCCTAGCAATCATGATGGCAGACTAATTATCACTAGACATCCAGAATTTATCATCTTGACTCAACTCCAATTCTTTTAGTAGTCTCAACGGCCACAACCCTTCACACATTCCAAGTATTAAAGCTCAGAATTCTGCTTCAACAGTGCTTGGAGAAACAACAGTTTGTGTATTATTTTCATTTTGTGAGTTAGCTCAGTGGAGGAGGGAGGAGAAGAGGAGAAATAAATCCCTATGAGGAAGACTAATCTGGCATCCCCTTCAGCTAACTATGTTGGGCAGAGCTGGTGCAGCTTTCCCCTACCATGCAGATAAAGGTAGAAGCCAGGCTTTGGGTTTTTAGCGGGTTTTGGCCTTTGGGAAGAGAAGTGGTTCTGTTGGGTGAAAAAATAAATTTTGGGTGGATAACAAGAATTTCTTCCTTCTATTTTTTTCGGTGTAAGAAAAGGAAACATAAAAGAAAGCAAAAGTGACAGTGACAGTGAAAATATGACAACAAATATGAAAAGCTTTGGTACTCTAGCTTGTTTCTGATTTCCCTCCTTTCCTTTTTCTTTCCCTCCCTTCTATTTTTTTTGGTGAAAGAAAATGAAACATAAAAGAAAAAGAAAGAAAAAGTGACAGTGACAAAAATGACAACAAATATGAAAAGCTTTAGTACTCTAGATTGTTTCTGATTTCCCTCTTTTCCTTTTTCTTTCTAAAATGAATATTATATGTTGATATTTTCTCATCAAATGTAGGGGTGTTCATTTTTCATTTTTAACCGAATTAACCGACCGAATTGAATTAGTTCTGTTAATTCGGCCGGTTACTGAATTAGTTCAGTCGGAGAACAGTTAATGTTTTTTTCTATATTCGGTTAACGGTTAATTCAGTTCGAAATCGGTTAATTAACCGAATTAAATATTAAATATATTAAATACATATTTTAAGCTCAAACCCATTAAGAATTAAGATCCAATTATTTTTTAACCACACTAGACTCATTAAATTATTAATACATAATTAAATTTTAACCCAATTTTTTAAAAAAATACTTCTATTATATTCAAATTAATTTAATTAGAAAAATTATAAATTTTTTTGGTTAATTCGGTTAACTGACCGAAATAACCGAACTTTATTCGGTTCGGTTAATATTTTTAAAAAAAAGTTTGGTTAATTCGGTTAATGATAATTTGGTTCGATCGGTAGCCGTTTTAACCGTTTGAACACCCCTAATCAAATGTTAATAATTTTATTGAAAAATACTAAATAATTCTTTTTATTGATTTTGGTTTTTTGACAATAAAAAATGTCTTTGTTTCCTACAACTAAATGTGATGGCTTTCTTACACGTCAGCCTATTTATATGGATCTCTTAGGTGACTTGTGGAGTTTTGACCTTGGGAAACAGTGAGTTCTTAGCTTCTCTAAGCATATAACTGTGATGCTTCCTTGCTCAAGTGTTTTTACTATATGTGAAGTGTCCAGGTTCAAGTTCTTTTTGTAGAATTTAGTTAATGTGATCCGGAACAATAAAAGAAAGCCCCTTTTCCCAATATTTTGAACTTTCTGGACCACTTATAACAATTATGAATTCATACAGTGGCCTTGCTCTATTTTCTTTATGACAGGCTGATTCTGAAGTCCATATACATTGGAAGGGAGCAGCTGAGATAGTTTTAGCCTCTTGTTCCGAATACTTTGATTCAAATGGTTGCCTTCAATCCATCAGCGATGACAAGGTTTGTCATGATGTATATTCATGCACACAAAAGAATGCGATAATATGTTGTATGATTGAAAGATAATGGTTGCTCAGTCGCAAACAGAACCTTGTTAAAGATACATTAGGACATAGGCTGTCCCTTACCCAGAAATAATCGCTTAGTTGATAAGAAGTCTTCAACTTCTTGTACGATTGAAACTGGGACTCTGTTGCCCCAAATGCCTCCTCGATACAATAAACTAAACTATGTGATTATTATTTTATTACATACAATTGTACACCTGTTTTCGATTGCTATTTTGCATTTATGTATTTCATTATTATTTCTTCAAAAAAACTATTTTCTTCTGTAAATTTGTCTGCCATGCTGCCGGTTTTTTATACCAGTTTCATTGCAATTGATATGTTTTAATAACAGCATTGCATATTTTCATGATCCGTGTTTGTGAAATTATGCAAGGCATAAGTTGTGAATCAGAAACAATGGGCAAGCACTCAATGTCAGTGGATAATTCAATGTTCGTGTTCAACTTCTTTTGTGCAGGAATTTTTTAAGGCTGCTATTGATGAAATGGCTGCGAATAGCTTGCGTTGTGTAGCCCTTGCATACAGATTATGTGAAAAAGAAAAGGTTCCTACTGATGAAGAGGGCTTTAATGGATGGATCTTACCTGAAGATAACCTTGTTTTGCTTGCTATTGTGGGTATAAAGGTACACTTTTTCAGTTATAGTATGAACTATCTACTTCTTTCACCAAATGATATATCTACTGATCTGATTACTTGTCTATTTTTAATCTGTCTTTTGGAATCTAAAAATCAATTATTCCAAGCATCTCCGAATGGCAATTGTGTCAATAATGGAAACAACTTTCTCCTTTAAGTGCAATAAATTTGATGATATATCACTAGAAAAAAGTATTACATGCATGGACATGCAAATAAGTAGATCTATTATTAGAAACAAAATTACTCATCGAAGATTAGTTGGGTAATTAATTCTGACGAAAGAGAACATAATTACTTGGAACTGAACTATTTATCCTTTATGCTGTGGCATTTTCCCTGTTATTTTCCCACTTTATAACTTTGACATCGTCATTGTTTTTGAGCATGTCAGAATCTAGGAGTGCCATTTATTCTTAGGCGTATTTTGTGCCTCATAATTTTTGCTTCTACTAATTATTGCATATATTCCTGTCAGTAATTGTTAATGCTTAGAAAACAGATTTTTTTGGTATGCAGAAAAAAAGACATTTTTCGGACTTCATTAGGTATTAAAAAAGTTACTGATCATCAATAGTTTTATACTGAAAAGAAACAAAACCTTGCACATCCTTTCACACAAGCCCTCAAGCTTGGTTGGAAAACACCAAAAGATGAAAAAAACAGAGAAGTATTCCAATTATTATATAACCATCTATTAGAAAAAAAAAGGTGGATTTCATTATACACTTTTTTTATAAGAAATTAGGCCTCATTAAAAAAACCCTTCATACCCGTCGTTGTACATAAGTACCTCAGCGGACATTGGAAGAAGGAAAAGAGTGACTAAAAATTTTATTCCATAAAGAAAATAGACCTCATACATCAATAGACTGTTACAAAACACCACCCACCTACTTAATCTCAACCCACCCTACAAACACACCATTCAAACAAAAATTACTAAACAATTACCCTATACCCGACTTAGCCAAACCGTCATCCTCCCAATTTACAAGCCTTCTTACAGACCTTATAATAACACTATATTCCAATATAACACTGACAATTTCCTTAACCAGCTGTGAGAACACATTAGGACATACTTCGGGAGTCTTAATCCACTTGACTGCAATTTCTGAATCAGTCTCTATGATTAACCGACCCTTACCACACCATTCTGATTCCACAAACAAAGTTAAACCAGTTTGAATGGCCTTCAAGTCAGCTAGTATAGGAGGACCAGGACCCGTAGGTTCCGAAAAAGAACCCAGAATCTTGCTTTCTTCATTTCTCAATAGTGTTTGCAAGGGTGCAAGATGTACTTGAGCGCAAGGCACAGTGAAAAGAAAAGAAAAATGCTTGCATGAGTGAAGTAAGATGCTATATTTACGTGTCACGTTTATTAAGAAATAAAGTTTTATATTTCCTTTCACAAGCCCTCAATTTTATTTAGAAATATGCCAAAAAAATTAATTAGACGAGCAATCATGTTATTATATTATAACCATCTATTAGAAAAAGGTGGATTCCCTTATACACTCAATAATGTTAGCAAGGGTTCATGATGTACCTGAGCACAAGACAAGGGAAAAGAAAAAAAAACACTCGCATGAGTGAAGTAAGATGCAATATATTTGTGTGTCGTGTGTGTGTGTAAAATAAGGTTAAGATATATAGTTCTGTTAATGAACTTTAAAGATTGGTCCAGTTTTATCCCACAAAATATGCAAATCAATCTTTTTCTTTCTTTTTCCACCATTTTCCTTATGGTTTCAAGTTTGTTGTTGAATACTCAATTAGATTGATATTTTCCTTTTTTCTACTACTGAAGGTAAAGTTCAAGAAAATAATCAAAATAAAATAAAAGCAAGAGAACTTTACTTAGTCTAGCTTACAAAAAAAACATGTCTGGGTTTACTAGGCATCCACCTCATCAAATGCAATTCACCTGAAAGGGTCTGTGATACTTATATTCTCTAGTGCTACCAAGCATCATCTATGCAATTTCTGCCTGCGTTTAGCTAATATAGTTTCCACTTGCAGGATCCTTGTCGTCCAGGTGTCAAAGACGCGGTGAAAATATGCTTGGATGCTGGTGTAAAGGTGATTTTGATGCTTAGTAAGATTAGCTTTGAAATTTATCATACCCTTCTTGCTTAGTAATGTTACTTGTATTGAGTTCAGATGTTGAATGGTAAAGCTTTCCGCTCATTTGATTTTTTTAACCCATAATTTATTTATTTACTTTAATTTTGAACAGATTTTTGTTATTAATGATAATACTTTGTGGAAAACTACTCTCTCTCTCTCTCTCTCTCTGTGTAGCTGTTTAATCACCTGAAACCATAAAGTTTCAAATATATAGGTACGTATGGTCACTGGAGACAATATCCAAACAGCAAGAGCAATAGCTTTAGAGTGCGGGATACTCAGTTCTGCTGAAAATGCTATTGAGCCTACCATCATTGAAGGAACGGTGTTCCGTAACTTATCTGATAAAGAAAGAGAACAAGTTGCCACGAAAATAACGGTATCTTTTGGCTATAATTGACTGATTATATTGCTTTCAGTTCCTGATAACTTTTCTCAAACTAAGCTACATAGTTGGTTCAAACAAGAAAATGTATCTAACTAATTGTGTTCCCTAGGTGATGGGGAGATCTTCTCCAAGTGACAAGCTTTTGCTTGTTCAAGCCTTACGTAAGGGCGGGGATGTTGTGGCTGTGACTGGAGATGGTACTAATGATGCTCCTGCACTTCACGAGGTTCGTTATTTAGTTTAACCAAGTTAGATTTATTCACTCTTCATTTTCCTTGTAATGATGATTCTTTATGATACATCTTATATGTTCTAAGCATTGGCTTAGCATCTGCATGTACCCTCATTAGACAGCATATCCACTTTCATACTCTGTTTATAAATGCCAAAGTTGATGCCTTTCCGAAAAATTTTGGGCCTTCACTAATATTACAGTGCAAAATTGTGTGATTGACGTGTCATCAAACATGGAAAATTGTTCTATTTCTTTCAACCCACTATGTGAACTACCATGGACCAATACTCCTTCTTTCAAACAGCTTTGTTCATATATCTAGTGAACACTTACTTTGTATATGGTGCTGCATGTTGACTGAGCCATATCTTCCCCACCTTAATTTGCTCATTTTTCACATTTTCTATTCAACGTTGATCGCTTTTTTTTTCTTTTTACTTTTTTCTGTATTTTAGGCAGATATAGGTCTGTCTATGGGTATTCAAGGGACTGAAGTTGCAAAAGAAAGTTCAGATGTCATTATATTGGATGATAATTTTTCTTCAGTTGTGAAGGTTAGTAGATACTTGATTTCAAATAGATATTATTCTTTCCTCTGTTCCTGTATCTTACTACTGAATATGACAAAAGGCTTATATTAAATTTCTGCTAATTGTGGCTCAATGTTGTGTAGGTTGTTCGCTGGGGTCGTTCTGTCTATGCCAATATTCAGAAGTTTATACAATTCCAGCTTACAGTTAATGTTGCAGCTCTTGTAATCAATGTTGTGGCAGCGATATCCTCCGGTGATGTTCCTTTAAATTCAGTGCAGGTATAGCTCTTTCTTTGTTGGTCAATGTCCCTGCATCTCTTCCTAATTAATTTGACTATAGTCAAAAGGTAAGACCTTAATGAATGTTCTCTAGTTTTTCCTCAAAAATAAAATAAAATAAAAATGTTTGAAATATCCTAATCTACTCTGCCTCCTTGCTTATGGAATTTTGTTTTCTGGTACAAATAATCTATGGATTTCTTTTATCTTTTGCATCCTTGATGGTTCATGTTTCTAGATGGGTTGGGACCAAAGTTACCAGGAACGCCCTGTTATATGAAAGGGAATAGAGCATTCCATTTAATTCATTTTTTTTGTACGAGGGAGATAAGGCTCATTGGTAGCTTTTTTGTGTTGCAATATGCAGTAAAACATTTCTCAGGCTGCCTTTGCTTTTTGATGATCATAAGCAATCTTTTTAAGAAATAAATTATTTTAATTTAATTAAGGTATTGAAGGGGGGATAGAAGTGGTTTGTTGTCCTTCTAAAAAAATTAACCAGCTTTTCTTTTTCTCTTGGCTCATAAATAAGTTTTTCAAGTATAATTCGTAATTGGGTGTTTCATGTTTTAGAGATGGCATTCTATTAAAAGCCTGAATAAAATTTATGACAGTTTTAGCCTTTTAGGGGGTTAGGCTATGAATTGATGAGCTGTTCAATGATGGTTTTTCCTTCTGTATCTGTTTATATGTGGTGATGAAACTTCAAAGTTAATATGCATGCAGAATAGAATTCAGACTTCCTGTTGTTTCTCTTGGAGTAAAAAAGTAGAAAAAATAACGGGTAGGATATGTTACTATAATTTAGTCAACATAAGGAACTACGTAAAGTAAAACATCTCATTGTGATGAGCAAAGTTTGAAAATTTTAATTCTCTTGGTACAGTTATTATGGGTTAACCTGATCATGGATACTCTTGGAGCACTTGCATTGGCTACTGAACCACCAACTGACAATCTTATGCATAGGTCACCAGTTGGCCGAAGGTTTGAACTCCTTTGCTCATGTCAATTTCCATTGTGCACTTTCTAATTTTATAGTATCACTTTTGCTAACATCGATATGGCAACCATCTATCAAATTAATCATTAAAACTTATATTACCATGCTTGTCATTCCAAAAATTCAATGATTTTACAGTTTTGCTTTGTTCTTCTCAATTGTTGGACCATCTGGTGTGAAAGAAATCACGTTTCCACCTGTCACCGAATGTGACTGATTTAAAAAGAGTATGACAATAGACTATGAGAAGAGAGAACATAGAGAAGATAAATATTTCTTGAGTTGATATTGCCATTCTCGAGTTTTACAGCAGCTTTCTTTTGCTATAACTACTAAGTACCAACACTTTAAAACTTGAATGTGGTTTTCTCCAAGGGGATATTAATGAAAAATGTTGAGAAACTAATTATGGGATTAGTTTACAATTTTATTTTGATGCTCTTGTTGTATTTATGAAGATTAATGACAAAAATATGTAGATCCAGGATATATTTAGTATTTTACATTATGTTAACTGTGTTCGCTTTACCCTATCAGGTTTTGTTTTCAAGCCAAGTTTTTTTTTTCGGTGGTCTCGAGTTTCAACTCGAGTTTAATTTCTTTATTACGAAGATAAATATTATATGATTAGAAAGGGCAGGTGTACCATTAAATTGTCTTTTCGTTTTTAATAAAATTGTTTTATTTCTCAGGGAACCTCTAATTACAAACATCATGTGGAGAAACTTACTCATACAGGTACCTGTTTTCTGGGGCCCTCGCTATAAGACTAATTATGTTCCCCTGTTAGATTTTCACTTGTCATAGTTGCAAGTGTCATTAATTGAGAGAGTTGTTAACTTCACACGGTCTGGAAAATGTGTCTTTGCAATTCCGTCTTCTCTTATCATGTTTTCACACGTCATTTCAGGCTTCATATCAAGTTACTGTCCTCCTCATGCTCAACTTTGAAGGCATGACAATTCTTCATTTGAAGGATGACCCTGACAGGACACATGCTTATGAAGTGAAGAATACTTTGATATTCAACGCATTTGTCATGTGTCAAGTAAGTACTTGATGATGTGAACTGCTTGGGGCATTCTTTCGATTTGCTGGTATTAGTTTTAAGGTTAATTGCTCATTTAGTGCCAAAGTTGTAGTTAAACTCTCGATTCAGTATCTAAGGGTTTAATCATTCACAATTAGTTAACTAGAGCTCTTCTCCTATCTGTCAATTTGCTTAGTTACCATTATTGAAATGGATGACATAACTAGAATCAGTCAATAAACACTCGCCATGTCACATGTTGCAATTTAGTTGGGTGTCTTTTACATCGACTCTTTTGGTTAGCTTTGTGCAAATTGATGGATGGAATCAAAGTTCAAGAACCAAATTACGATTTTTTTAACTTTTTAAGTACCAAATCAAGAATTTGACCATAATTCAAGTACTAGCTGTGCAAGTAGCCATTGCTTATTTTACGTGAGAAAAGACTACATTAGAGCTGAAGCATATCTATCTGAATCAAAATTGAAATCAGTGTGAAGCATAAATTTAATTACTGTTCCAAATCACAGATATTCAATGAGTTTAATGCTAGAAAGCCGGAAGAACTTAACTGCTTCAAAGGAGTGACTAAAAACTACCTCTTTATGGGGATCGTTGGATTTACATTGATTCTTCAGGTGATCAATCATCTTATCCTTTTTAACGTTTATTCTATATTGTTTGTAGTGATCTTTTTTTTACTTAGTACACCTGTGAATCTTGATACTAATTCCAAGACTGTATTAGGTAATCATTATCGAGTTCCTTGGAAAGTTTACCAGCACGGTCAGACTTGATTGGCAGCTATGGCTTGTGTCTATTGGCATTGGTATCATCAGGTAAGCTCTTGCTCTTCTTGTCAATTTTAATCATTTGGTAGAATGTCCATAGTACTCTATGTTGCTCTTGCTAATTGATGTGAGTTAAGATTAGAAACTACCAAGTTGTTTTGCCATTGCAAGAATGGTTGAAATTTGGAAAGCAGATTGATGACTGATGTTGTTATTATTGTGTGTTGAAGTTGGCCTCTGGCGGTTGTCGGAAAGCTGATTCCGGTCCCCAACACTCCGGTCGCTAAGTACTTCACCAAGCCATTTCGACGAAACACATCATCTCGGAATGCATGAACTATTTGGTATGATAGTTTCTGTTAATTCATTCTCTGCAAGAGAAATAAAAGTAGAATTAGCAATTAGACTTGTAATAAAGCTTTTGCTTTTGCTTTTGCTTTTGCAATTTGCAAGTAAGATTAGGGTTGTGAAGGCCCCGAGGCGGTGCCAACAAATTATTGAAATGGTCGCTTGCTTCTGTGGGCTTTCCGTATAATGTAGTGAATTCGATTTCGATCTCAGGTTTTGTTTACACTTGGCCCATTGTGGTATTAAATTAATAGTTGAAGTCGAACCAGTTTAGTTTCTTTTATCTATTTGAATCTAATTATGCCAACAAAATGTTTTCTTTTATCTATTTAACCGTTAAAAACTCCATCGGTATAACAAACAAATATATATTCATTTTATTTGTAACTAATGCAATTTTTATATCTAAAAAGAACTATTTTATATATCAATTAAAGACAGGACGGTTCAATGAAATTTTGCCTATAGCATCAAGCAATATATTGACTCAAACCCTGTAACATTTCTTACCCCATTGAAAAACCAAAAATCATCTTAACGGGTAACTTTTTTCAAGGGCACCTGACTTGACACCCAAGTATGACCACCAAAGTTGGTCTTTTCCCTCTACTTAAAAAGATTCAAACTGAGGTAAACGGGAAGACCCGAGACCATTTTACAAGGCTTCTACGGCTGCATGCGTCAAACCAACACCCTTTCGAAGTTTCTCCGGGAAGGAGGGTTAGCAAAATCACGAATAAGCCAAGTGGTTCTTCTTGGCAACGTAGGGAGAGAGGTAGTTGGTGACGGGTGGCAGACGTACCAGGTATAACAGCTGGTACAAGGATCTGAGGTTTCCCTGAAGCTATTCTTTTTCCAGCTACATTGGCATAAAACAGGCCGGAGATGTCTGGTACGAAGACGTCGCTCTAAGAACATATGTAGAGGTCTATAACCTTATCAAATTCCGAATCTTCAGATTCATGGAACTTCCCCTTTTCTCCTCTGGCATTATGGTTTCCTACATTAGTTCCGGTATCAATCAGAGGTTCAAAACAATAGAAATAGAAAAATTGTGTTTCGAGGTTGAGCTACGAGTAATCATGCAAGCATTAAACATTGTACAAAAATTGCAGATTACTGTATCATAGAAATGATTTTAGATAAGATAATATACATACCATGTCTTGTATTTTTCATGCAAATATGATTAACACACAAAAATAAATATGGCTTATAATAACTATTTTTTTGTATTATAATGTTTACAAACAAATAAAAAATTATAATTCTTAAAGTTATATCATTCTTAAATTTATACACAAAAATTAGCTTTCATGTTCGGAGTATTTCAAGAGAAAAGAAAGAGTTCTAAATTGATAAATCCCTAATTTTTATCTATCTGTTTATTTAGTATGAGTAATTAATTTATGAAGTAAATTTGGTAAGTAAGCAATCCTGTTACCACCTTCATTAATTTTTACTTTTGTCATGATTTATTGTTAATGATTAATTCTTACCTTTTTTTCTACAATATTTTCCTTTGCAAATACGGAATGAAATCTACACAATTTTAAATTAATTCCTTTTATATTTTCCTTAATTATTTGTTTAATAAAAATCAAATACATCGGCCAAAGTTCTTTTTTTTTCCATTAAAAAGAGAACGAATCGAATTTATTTTGAAAAATGTATCCTATTCTCGAATTTTAAAAAACGATTAATTTATTAATTTTAAAACTAAAAATAATCAGATATAGACAATATAATAAATTTAATTTATTAACTTTTGAAAGAAAATAATAGAACACCACTAAAAAAAATTACGTATACGAGAAAATTTGCATAAATGCTCTATCAAAAATTCTCTCACTTTACCGAAATCTATATCCTTTTAACTTTTTATTTTTAATTCAAAAAGGAAAACCCCCTGTCCAGTGTCCATAGTCCCTCCTAACTCAAAGCCCTTTTTACCCTCCCCCTCCATAAACAAAAACACTGAAAAGCCCTATTTCCCCCTAAATATTTTTCCCCTCCAATGGAATCGCTTTCAAGTTCATTGTTCATCTCTAATCTATCTGAGACACACCCTTTTCTCAACAGCCACTCGCTTCCTTCTTCTTCATCGTCTTCTTGTTTGATCAAAACGCCAAACAGACGAATTGAGACTCTGAAATTCAATTCTGAAACCTCTCACTTTCATGGTTTTCGTCTCCAGGCTTCATCTCACGATCTCCCCGATGAAGGTGAGGACCGGCCGCATCCTCGGACTGTCAATGTTGAGTTTAGCCTTGTTTCTGAAGATGCTCTCTCTGTATCTCAGGTAACCTGATTAAACCTGTTTTTCGTTTTTTTTTTAATTTATCCTGTTTGGTTATTTGGGTTCTTCTTAAGTTGTATATTCATGTAATGTTTGCTTTGTTTTACTCCACAACTTGTTTGAGAATATTAAGAAAGATATATGAGAAATCTCACTAACTTTGCGTTTGATTGGATAGAAAAGCAAACCTACTTTTTTTAATGATTTGAAAGATAACAATTCAGTTCGGGTTAGGAAAAAGGCCAGGCTTTAATTTTAATGATATGCTTGAATGTGTCTTAAATTTATTATCTTGAAGAAAGTAGAAGCAAATAGCAAAACGAAAACGGAAAGGAAAACCTAATGGAACTTAAAAAGTGTGAAATTTTTAAGTTTAGAGGGTCTAATGTAAAGTATCATTTGAGGGTTTTAAGATTTTATAATGGTGAGGATGTGACTATAGTTTATGATCTTTGGAACATTTTTTTCCTTTTCAATTTCTTGGATGTCATAGAGACTTGTTGGATGTATCAAGTGGCTACTTCAGCTCGGTATTGATAGTCTATGTCATGTTCTGAAGGGTGATTCAGATGACAATCAATGCAGCGAGAAGGGTGCTAATAAATTAACAAAGATCGAAACAAAGTTTGAAAACTCAGTTACGGCTCCACATTCAAGTGGAGTCACAGGGGGTACGAGAGCTGGACTTTTCAGAACACCAATATCTGGTGGAGTGCAGAGTGCAACTTCAGCACATGGATTACCCCGACCGGCCTTAGCTGTCCGCAACCTGATGGAACAAGTAAAAGCTATATTTTGAGTTCATGTCTTGGAAAAAAAGAATTTACTGCGATTTATTAGTCCTGTATTTATTGGTGTCTGTAATTCAAGGCCAGATTTGCTCATTTATGCACTGTAATGTCTCGGATGCACCACCGAAGAGAAGGGTATCCCTTTGGCTCGCTGGTAGATTTCACTTCTGATTCAGTGGGTCGTAAGTAGACTTCTGAATTTCTGTTATTTGGTTACTATTTCTTTCCACCAGAAAAAGCATTTAAACTTTCTTGGTTTCTTATTTTTTTTAATTGAAATAGCCTAATAGCTATGCATTTATCCTTCATGAAAATGGCATACGTTTTTGCCTATAAATTAGATAGCTGTGTAATGGTTGTTGATTTTGTGTACAGGTTGTTGGGTTTATTTGATATATCTTCGATTTTCAATCTGCAGATCCAATATTTTCATTTTCACCATTGGCTATCCATACGCGGAATTTATTAGCAGACCCTAGATGCACCCTTGTCGTGCAGGTTAATTATTTTTATCCTTTTGTTCTGATGGAATATATGTGTTAGTTATAGTTCATAAATTGAATATGGTTTTATAGATACCTGGGTGGAGTGGCTTATCAAATGCAAGGGTAACAATATTTGGTGATGTCTACCCTCTTCCTGAACATCAACAGGTGCTCACCTAAATTCATTTTTACTTTTTTTTTTGGTGATGGGAAGGAGGGTGAGTTGATACTCAGTTGGGATACTTGCAAAAAGAGATTGGGACTTCTGCTTTTCACTTCACGGGCTCATGGCCTTAAAAAATGGCTGTAGAGAGCAAGGTTCTCTTGCCTTGAGTCTCCTTTATTAGTTTCTAGAGGATATCTATTAGGAGGAACTTCTATTTCCTCACTATTTAAGGAATGCACAATTTTGGATATTCCCCCCTTTCTTCTCTTTGATCACATGTTTAGAGGCTACTGTTTATCTCTAGGTTCACTCAATGTCTTCATGATTTGTATTTTGCATGTCTATATTTTTCGTGCCTAAAATAGGCTTCCTCACCTTGGTTATTTTGCTAGGAATGGGCTCATAAACAGTACGTAGCAAAACATCATCAAGGTACATCACAACAGTGGGGGAATTTCTACTACTTCAGGATGCAGAACATAAGGTCTGCATCGATCTATAGTATTTTCTTATTTCTAATGCCAGTTTGGGTTCCTTTCTCAGAAAGCCTACAGGCTAATTATCAATGCATTGCATCTTATCTATGACCTGTTTTTCTTGCTGATACTTCCGTTAGGAAACTGCTAATAACATTAGCAGGCACTATAGTCTTGCACTTCTTATAACATTTAGTAGATGTTAATTTGTTTGGTGCTGGGGGATGGATTCTTAGTTCGGCTGTCTTATGCTGCCTAGTACCAATGGCCTGCCTTACAAAATGTGGGGATAGTTTTCAAGCTTGTAGGCACTCTAGTCTAACTTGCCCCGGCCAAGTTCACTTGTGAACTGAGATAATTTTCATATATGACTGCAGCTTTTGCTCTTAATAGTCTTTTTCTGACTACTGTTAATAGAAAAGAAACCGTTTTCATTGAATTTTGAAATCACTGTTCTAGTTGCCTTGATTGTTTAGTTTGTGGTTCTGCTACCCAAAGACTTGGGTTTAACTGAAAATGGTTTGGCATGGAGCCATGGAGAAGTAAAGAAATATTTCTGGTGTTTGCTAAGATTGCAAGTTTCATTGTGTTATTAATTACCTTAAGACTCTTGATTTTCTGTGTAATATATGTGACTGTAAAATAACCTGATGCTTTTGGATTCAGAAACCTGATTAGTAGTGGGATAAAGCAGTTAATTAGCATCCATTTTTTTCCCTTTTATGCATATTATTTTTTGAACATTTTGTACTAAATATAAATTTTCATGTAATGCACACATTGAAAACATTTATTTATCAAAATTTATTTCAGTGACATATATTTCATTGGAGGATTTGGCACCGTTGCATGGGTCGATGTAAAGGAATATGAGATGCTTGAACCTGATAAAATTGCTGCTGATGGAGGCGAACAAAACCTGAAGGTGAACCTTTGTAAATCCTTAGAATGTCGGTTTTAATTTTGTTATTTGCACGGATTATATGCTCCCTTTTGACGTGATTATTTCTCTTTTATGTTGAAAATACAGTCTAATAATTAATTCTCATATATATTCTCTAGTGAAGCTTGTCAATATGCCCCGTTTTCCCAGGCTAATTTGGGCATCGTTTGTTTTTACTGTAGGAACTGAATGCAACCTTTTCAAAGCCACTCAGGAAGCTGTTATCAACAGAAGCCGAGGTTGATGATGCTGCTCTCATATCAATAGACAGCAAAGGAATCGACATAAGGGTCCGTCAAGGTGCACAGGTATTGTTTATTTTGTATGACGAATATAAATGGGTTTCTTTGGGGGGGGGGGGATTGTATGTCTGTTTTATACAATTATATTTCTATTCCATTTTTCAGTTCAACATACGGAGGTTATCATTTGAAGAAGGACAAGCTGTTGAAACGTTGGAGGAAGCCAAAACTGCTTTGTGGAAGGTAATAAAGAGAGGGAAAGTGCAAAATCTGAAGTAGAACATGTTGCATTCTTGGCCTTCTATTGGAAGCATAAGGTGAGATGCTGCAAATCACCGCCGTCACTCAAAATGTAATATATTATAGAGAATGTTTTTTTTATTAATACATAAAAGTTTGTAATTTCTAACAAATGTTCCCGCCAAATTTTAATTCCAACATTTCCTTTACATGGAACAAAAGTTAGACTACGACTTAAGTCTTGAACTTATTCAAAGCTGCAGTGTGAATCTTTTTCTGTTTATTTCTCAGAAATTTTGGATATTATTTATAATAATAGTTTGGTTAATTCGATTTTCAGTTTTTCTAGTCATCAACCAAACAATGCAATCAATTGTGAAGAGAGCATTCCAAGTCCAAACGGTAAAAGGGTAAAAAAAATCCCAGGTCGATAAAAACAAACGTAACAACAGACTTTTTTTTTTACACAAGTAACCAAAATATGAAATTCAACCCAAAGTCATCAGTTTACAAAATTCTGCTTGCCATTTGCAAACAAACTTACTAAAGTGTAACTGTCAACATTAAAAAACACGAATATACTTCAAGAACCTTGCTATTGCTTTTCTTTTCCCTTGAACCTTTGTCAAACACAAAATCCACAACTGCAAGAAACCAGCATCGGTGCCTACAAGATGAGACTAAAAGCAAAGAAACCTGTAAAAAGCTATACACCGAGTTAAAAAGGATAAGAAACACCACCGGCCTCTTTCTTGTTAATTGCTTGTCCTTACTGCAACCCCCCAAAATATTAATAGAATGATATGAAGAAAAAAGAAGATAATAATTTGTGTTGTAGATTAAAAACAGTTTACAATGCACAGGGTTCTAAACAGGTATGACATCATTATTTGATGCGTCTTCACACCTCAATATGATACCCTCAAGGCTAGCTGGGAAGATACATTTGGCCCATTGGCATCCGGTTGTAGTTGGTTCAGGTGGAGGAACAATCATAAGAACATTGTCATTTCTCTGAACAACTCCCATGACACTAACCGTGCTTCCCTCCTTGATATACCTACAAACATAAGATTGCAATTTCAAAATAGTCATCGCAATCTGCCAAATGCATCCCACCATAATCTACAATGCAAACACAATTGTATTGCATATGCTTAGAAGTACTACAACTATTCTTCGACTTCAAAGCACCCCAAAGCTGCCACAACTTTTGAAAATGAAACTTTTCCATATTATTTGATTTTAGAATTACATTCTATACTTGAGAGAAATCATATTATATGAAGTTTGGAGGACAATTTCAGGCTCAAACCACTTCAGATTCAAGTTGCTTCAAGTTTAGTGTTTTGAATTTTATCAAATTCATTTACTTTTCAGGCAAACATATTATATCAGGGTTTGGTGTCAAACAGTTCTATATGGTTTTTCGAGTTGAATTAGATTTTTCCACACCTAGCTAAGCCACCTTACTTCAAGCTTTACTCTCAGATCCGGTTTCACAACATATTACAAAAATAGTCACCTAATCTGCACAAGTAGAAAATATAACAAAAAGACTAGCCATCCCGAAAAGAAAGAATTGTAGAAGACATCAAAGAATATCAAATATTAGCCATCAGTGAAATATAGACCTTTGAGATACAATTTATTGTTCCTGCAAGTAACATAAGTATTCAATACATGGTGAAACAAAAAGGAGAGAATTTTACCCTTCTTTCAATCGCATTAAACGGTCATCACTTGAAAGGTTCCTTTCTCCCAGCCACTTGATGAACTCTGGAGACAATGTTTCGCTGGCTGGGTTGACATCTATAACAATCGAGTCATCCACATAAGAAGTCACTGATGCTCCATTCCCTGTTTTAACTAATGCTCTCAACCCTGACTGGAAATCTGAGATGTAGAAGTCAACTGACCGCCTCTGTTGAAATGACATAGAAAACGTTAGATTCAAAAGAGAGAGAAACCTGGAGAATAGTGCCCATGTCCAACACTTGAATCCAATGCATATACTAGACATAGGGATATGGGGATGTGAACCTCCAAAATACATGAAACTTAGAAAAAAATTCAATATGATATGTAAAACACTCATTTTCAACAACCACACACATATCTACTAAATTGCACAGACAACACAAGAAACAAATCTTTCACGTGTAGGTTAAAATAATTACACAAATTTTGGCCCATCTGCCGAGCTATACCTATAACCAGAGGGCAATGTACCACTTCACAGCATAGTAAGCCAAAAAAGACTTGTTCCTTTTCACTTTTTTAAAGCATAAAAGAATCATCAGCTACTTGAAATTCTAAAATAAGGGCAAGCCTTTCTGTGAATTGTAAACACAAACTAGGAAATAACATTTTTTTTCATAAAAATTCAGGAAAAGGTAATAAAATTAACAATTCAATTGCTTACTTCCAACAATCTGAGTCCCCAGGTAAAACGACGATGTGTAGGATTGGCAGCTTTGGAATCCCATCCTCGATACTCGTATAAACTAGTTGACGTATAAACACATCTTGGAACTTTCTGGAAGGATGACTCAAGAGGAACATTCCCACATGTTACCACCTTCAAAAATAACAACCAAACAATTAATCAATATCATCTACAGATTAACAAGTAGATAAAATTAAATGATTCCAACAAAAAACACAGCTACACAAACACAAGCGATCAATATAACAATTCCCACTAGTTAGAGGAGTTCAACAGTTACAGAGGATCATACGTGCATAAAACAAATGTTGCTATATGTTCACTGTACATGGTTTTTGATACAATGGCATTTAGGCCCATGTTAAACAGTAAGAACTTGAGTTGGCAACTTGACGTCCACTCCAATAATATCTTTTAATAAAATATCGCACTTCAAACTGTATAGGATCATGTGATTATAGATTGTTATTTTCCAGTGGATTTTTTTAAGTTGAACGTGGATGGGGCTGTTAGTACGGTTGGTATGTATGCTGGAATAGGGGGTATTCTCAGAGATTGGAATCGGGATATTCTTTTCTCTTTTTCAGAAAGTGTCGGTCCTTATCCTACAATCCTAGCAGAGCTGAAGGCTATCAAAAAAGGAATTGACCTATTTGTTTCATCACAATGGGCTTCGAAGGGCAGACTAATTATTGAAAGCGATTCAAAGATAGCAGTGGATTGGATTAAAGACCAAGCTCTTACACCTGCTTTTCTGTCAAACTTTGTCAAGGAAATTGTGTCTATTGTTTCTGCTATTCAGGCTTTTGTTAGGTGGATTCCTAGATGGTGTAACTGTGAGGCCGATAAGTTAGCAAAGGAAGGAATTGGGTAATTTTTGTCGTTGCTTAGGCAGGTTTGTAAGCCTTAAGAGCAAAGTACCCTCAGGACTGTTTTTAAGTTTTATGTAGTTTGCAAGACTGTTTTTAAGCCTTATGTATCTGGTTTATTATCAATAAATCGATGCACTCTTTTCCTCCTTCCGCTAGGTGGTCCTAGCTTTAGGGCAGAGGACCACTATGAGGGAGGTTTTTAATGAGGCATCCTATTCCTATAAAAAAAAAAGATTGTTATTTTCCAATAGCAAAATGAGTTTATCATATCTGAACAATAAATTAGATTACTTACCCCAGAGATTTTCACGAATTGTCCATTTTTTGCATTCCTAAGCTCTGCATCTGGATAACGAGCGATAAAACCCATAATAGCTTTTCTCCCCCAACAAGAGTTCCAAGCAAATAATGAACCAACAGTACCAAAAAGGACCACAACAACAATGAGGAGAATGGCATTGTGAACTGCTCCAAGAATAAAACCACCAGCAATGAAACCCATTATAAAGAGCAGTATCAGTGCATATAATATTAGTTTCGGAAAGTTTTTCCTGAAAGAAAAATCATCATTCTGGCCAAGAATATTCACAGCCTGATTATGAACAGCAGAACCTTTCACTTTCATTGATCCCATAGAATCCAAAGGACCAGACACTTTCCGAGGAGCACCAGAGGAATTTAGTGGCCCTGAAGAGATGGGCCCAGATGTAATAAGACCAGTTGTAGGGAGAACAGGAGGTATAGGACCAGAATTTTGACGTCCACTTGGTGTCACTCCACCTGATTGTGGACCGGATGATTTCTTCACAGGATCCCCATGCCTATTTAGTGGTCCAGAGTTTGACTTCTTCAATGAAGCCGAACCAGACATGCCTCCTGTAGCAATAGGACCTGATGTGGTATAGCCAGCCCGAGGTGCTGCATTCGACATGATTGGTCCAGAATGTGAAGCAGCACCTCCAAGAGATCCAGTCCTTGAAGGAGCGTTATTTATAGGTCCAGATTTCCTGGACTTAGAACCATCTGTAGGGATATCAAACATTTTCCCCAGTTCTCCCGACTTCTTAATATCTCCACCAGTATAGGGCATGGCCACTGAGCTCATGGTTGGAGTCCTTTCTTTAGGCTGCTCTGGCCTTCCTGACACATAAAGCCCATTGCTGAGCTTATGAGATGGGAATCTGGAACCCATCTAGCTTCCTATGTACAATGCAGAAGATAATCAACAAGAAAGATTTCTATTAGTCCACCGATAAGTCTGTCAAAGCCCCCCTGAAAAAAACAGCACCTTAGCTATTAGAAGAATAGTTCCATTCTAATGATTCCAGAGATGTATGCTAGCGTTGAAAGAACCAAGCATAAAGGACATGGACCTAACTGATCAGGTACGCACAGAAACATTCATATAGCAACAGGAAATGGCACATATTTACAAAATTACTCTTCTATACGAAGAAAGATTGTTACAATAAAATTCCCCACAAAGAAGTAGCACGAGAAATCTAATAATTAATACCATCAAAAAATTTCTGTAGGTTATGCAATAGATAAGTTAGTATTTTAATATAACACTAACTCTTAGAAAGTTAGATAGATAAGGATAACTACTAAGTAGTTTACTTCTAATAGAAAACTTACTCCTAACTTTTCCTATAAAAAGATGTATTTTCACCATTCACAATATATAAAAAAAAGAGTTCCTTTTCTTCTCCACTATGTTGTTTACTCTTTATCAACATGGTATCAGCTAGGTGACCGATCCTTCACCTAAATCTAGCCGATTTTTTTTTCTTTTTCTTTTTTTTACCCTAAATCTAGCCGTCGATCATGAATCACCACTTCTTCATCGGAGGTCACTTCGGAAATCCTCATTAATTCACCCCATTCTGATGTTTCTTTAG